TTTTAAAGTTAATAGCTCGGAAACAATTAAGCTTTCATATTTGGCTATTATAGGAAAACAATTAGACGGCAAAACACAGGAAACAAAATGTGCACCATTTGATATGAATATAAATCTAAAGGCTGTAAAAACCCATGAGTAAAAGGACAGGAGAACAATGCACAATAATAAGTAAATTATGTCTACAAATATGCATACATTAATAGAAAGTCTTTTTTAATGCAAGTTACAAACAAATGGCAAAAACTTCGCCTGGTCGCTTCAGGACTCTCATTATTCAGAAATAAACAATGTGCTGTAATTATTGGATACAAAGTAGGAACATAAACTAAAATAAAATAAATATAATATAAAAAATATATATAAATAGGAAACAAATTAAATTAATACATATTGGATTTAGAAATCAACTATGAATTAAGTCTCAAACTTTTAAATGCAGGGATTGCAGGTTGGTTAGGATTAGTAACATACAAGCTACATCAAAGAAAGCATAGAAAGAACTCCCGTGTGCTGAGAGTATTGGAGACACATTCAAAATTGATTCAAAATTACTTGAACTTGAGATGTTGATGAAAACGCAGAAAACTAAATATGCAAATTAGGTAACTAACATGAACAGATTTAAGTGTAAAACTAATAAGGTCTGCACAATGTAACAAGTTTCATTGAAATGTGATTAGAACCAAAATAATATTAATTATTATGCTAATTAGAGAATTAATATGAACAGATTTTAACCCCAAATTAATCAGGCTGTCTATTGTCCTACCAAGTTTTATTCAAATGTGATGATCAATACTTGAGATATCAATTAGGCGATTAAGAAGCACAAATATTGACCAAAAACTTGTATGGTGTATAGTCCTAGGTTCATTGAAATGTGATGGGTACTCTTTAAAAGTTTCATTGAAATCCAATGAGTGGCTTTTAGACATCAGTGCAACAGCCATAGAACAGCAAAAAATTAATTAATTATGCAAATTAGGTAATTAATAGGCACAATTATTTATCCCAAAATTAATCAGGTCTCTGCAGTCCTAGAGTATCTATGTAACAAGTCTCAATGAAATGTAATGATTAGTACTTGAGATATCAGGTGAAAAGCTGAAAATTAACTAATTATGCTAATAAGGTAATTAATATGCACAAATATTTACCCAAAAACTAATTAGGTCTCTGCACAGTCCTCAAGTAACTATGTACCAAGTTTCATTGAAACATGATCATTACTACTTGAAATATCAAAAGCTGAATTAATTATGCAAATTAGGTAATTAATATGTACTGATATTACCATAAAAACTATCAGGTCTGTGCAGTGTCGTATGACATCTATGTACCAAGTTTCATTGAAATGTGATGATTAGTACTTGAGATATCAGTGGAAAAACCGAAAATTGACTAATCATTATGCAAATTAGGTAATTAGTATCCACGGATTATTACCAAAAACTAATCAAAACCTAGCATTAGTTCAGAGCATCTATGTACCAAGTTTCATCAAAATCCAATGAGTGGTTGTTTAGATATCAGTGGAACAGTCATGGAACCACTAAAAAATAGCTAATTATCATGCAAATTAGGTAATTAATATGCACGGATTTTTACCAAAAATTAATCAAATCTGCGCATATGTTCAGAGCATCTATGTACCAAGTTTCATCAAAATCCAATGAGTGGTTCTTTAGATATCAGTGGAACAGTCATAGAACAGCTAAAAATTAGCTAATTATCATGCAAATTAGGTAATTAACGAGCATGGATTTTTACCAAAACCTAATCAAATCTGCGCATTGGCCCAGAGCATCTATGCACCAAGTTTCATCAAAAACCGATGTATGGTTCTTGAGATAGCAGTGTAACAGTCGGACACACATACACACATACACACATACAGACACACTAACTGCAAAGACTCCCATTTTGTGCTTCGCACATGGGAGTCAAAAACATTACCAACTATAATCAGTGCTCATTGTCTCGGGGGGAAAAACATCAATTGTATTGTGTGCAAAGAATTGCATCTTTTCACAGCTGCATGAACAATATCTAATTGTTCTATAAAACTAAATTGATTATGTAGAGTTTATGTCGTTTAGGTATATATTAGGTATAAATTACCTAAGTTGAATGTTACAATGTTGTACAACTGAGCACCATACAGGAATCTGACATAAATCTGAATTCTTCAACTTCATTCTCATCATAAAAGTGGGAAGTTTTTTTTCTCATATAACAGATACAAAGACAATAGCATTATTTGAAGAATAACCGTTTATTACTCAAGTGTTCCTTACAGATTTCACTCAAATCTTAAAGAATAACCCCCAGGCTAAAAATGGTTACAATACTTTACAATATGTCAGTTGCCAATCAAAAATAGACTTCATTTTTCCCCCTTTAACCGAAGTAGTCCAGAATTACAGATTAAAAAAAAAAAGACCATTTTATTTCAAGCACTTTGATTTTAAGACATCTGATTGGGCAGGATTGTTCACAAACATTCAAATGAAAGTGGGCAGTTTTCGTACGCATCAAACAAGGCAAATAATTTGTCATGAATCCCAAAATATGCGAAACTGTGTTTCTTTTTTTTTTCTCTCTAAATATATCACGGGGTGTAACAATACAAGCTAATTTGTTACAAAACAACAAAATGGCAGCTAAAACTCAACTTACTCAACACTGGTGTTATAGTATGGTAGTGTAGCTATGGTAACATGGCAATGGCAGTTATAACGTTTCTACTAGTATTATGGCAGTGGCAGGCCTCTAACACAGGTCAGGGGTCATTGGTACTCCCTGAACTTCGACCTTGGCATGGTGACCTCTGACCTGAACCACGACCTGCTGCTCATGGCAGCCAAAATTTCCAAAATGTATGACAACAGGTATTGGAGTTCCTTTGTTTGTGTATTAATTGAAAAGTCCCACCTAGATTTTTTTTTTTTTTAGCTAAAAAACAAAATGCTAAAAAAATACAGCCATCTTAGGAAGGAACTAAACACCAAAAATACCGACCCAAAACTGAAATGAAAGGTAGTGTTTTCTGACTATAAAAAAAAAGAATAAAGCAAAACTTTCTGGAAAGGAAAAACTCACTTAATTTTTTTTTTGGACTATAAAATAAACTAGAGAAATTATATCATAAAATAAATTTTTGTGGAGGAAGTTCTAGACATTTCAGAAAACTTTGGCAACACTTAAAAACATGATATACATACAAATTCAGGGTCATGTTACAATCAAATTAAGGAAAAAATGACCAATCAAATCTCAGCTCTTGCTCCCATAATGCTTACAGCACAAGTTAATATATAGTTTGAAAAAAAAAAAGATATTCATAATAAACAAGTTGATAGTCAGTACTATGTACAGAAAAAGAATAAAGAGGTTAGAAATAGCAGGACAAACTAAGATCTAGAGAGCTCAAATTGCACATGGATTTTCATGCGTAAAATAACTGTATACCATGCGCCATCAAAAATCTTACACCAACTTAGGTAGTCCAGTTAAAGAACCCCTAGGTTGATGAAGGAAACATTTTTCATCTGAGTGCACCACAGCACTCCACCAAACCAGTGCAATTGAGCTCCCCAGATCAAAGAGGATTGCAGAGCAGCCAAGTTTTACACCTTCAGTTCGACCTTTGACCTCTGAGGTGTATTCTTTGTTCTTCACCATGATTTACATAAACATTTAATCTATTAAACAATATACATATTACTTTTCTTTTCTTAACTATTTAAAAAAAAAATAAACATGTTGACATACATTTCCAACAATGCACAAAAAACCACAAAAAATACCCAATATCAAACTACAAAATGAAAGCTAAACCGGCAGTTAGTTAAAAGTCTATACTTGTTTACAAAACAGTTGACGGAAAAAGCCACCAACATTATCTCCACAAAATTAATGAATCTGATTGGCTAACATTAATTTCTGTAAATTGTCATCACTTGCATGAGAATCTTACAGCACTGCAACAATTCAGTTAAATAACAACTTTTTTGGAGTCACAAAAATAAGTTTCTTGCAAAATTACTGAGTGAGGTTACTGTGAACTGCTTTCATTTTCATGAGACAAATTTTTAAGAAATTTCTGAAGTCCGTAAAAAACTTGAAATTTTGTTGCAGTGAAAATTTCTCTAGCAGTAAAGATTAAGCGAACAATATCACTAGAATAATGAATTCATTACAATACATTTTCCTAGAGAATGCAGTTAGTTGATTCTATAAACGAAACGGTCAGAAAATGTATTCAAAAGTTAATTTTGTGCCAAAGCCCTGGTTCACATCCATGCAACGACAAGGTAATTTTGATACAAAGCCCTGGTTTACATCCAGGCAACGACCAGTTAATTTTGAGCCCCAAATTGACACTACCCGGTACATGTAGGGACCTATAAACATGATTATTTGCAAGCCAGTCAAATCACACATCAACAAACATTTTGGGATCACTTCCTCTTACTCAATGTCAGTAGAACTTTTAAACCTCCTAGATAAAAAGATGAGTGATCAATAACACATAAATGGCTTTTCCATTCCACACTATGAATGTAAAATGAAAATTCTTTGGCAGATATTTACTCTTATAGCATTTTACAAATCTGTATCCCCTACAAAAAATGATTGAATTCAAAGCATTTACAAATACCCTTTCGCAGACATGAACAAGAATTATACACTTAAAAATGGGAAACATACACACTTGACAATACCAAGAACATCCTTTTAAATATTGAATGGTTTGATCCACCAAGGTACAATACATGATAGTTTGGATGAACGACATTGTCACAAAAGGGTGGGCATTTAATGCTTAATGTTTCTGTCTCTGAGAGTCATTCTTCGTGGAGTGTCCCCATCTTCCATGTCTTCTTTCATCCCCTCTTTACATGGCGAAGTGTCCTTGTCTTTTTCTAGTTTGACTGACAGGACTTGTTTTAATGTAAACCGTGTAGCATGGTACACTTGCTGGTGATTCTCTCCACTCTGACTGTGCAGACTCACTGTTGACGCATTACTTCCCGTTCGCATCATACTAGGTGTACTGGAAAAGTTGTCAGCAGCTCGGTGATCAATAATGCCTTTCCAGATTTTGTCCTTCTGTCGTGGAGATATTTTCATATCATCAAGATCCTGAATGTCGTAAATGATGCAACAATTGTTAGTTGGACAGCACATATTCTCAAGAATTATTATATACAACTCGTTTGTACCCAAAACAGTGGTCAAAGGGGTTGTGTTTCAGACCCCTTTGTGGACTTTTAAAGACTCATTAGTGAATCTAAGACGAATTTCAGAGACTAATCAAAAGAAACATTCTGTACAAAAATCACACTCTACTCAACAAAATAATTTTCTAATAATAATAATCAGTAGCTTACCTCGATTGTAATAGCATCTAATTGGTGAATAAACAAATAACCCTTTTTACGGAAAATTTCAGAATAATTCTCACACCCAAACTTGGACAACCAGCTGGAAATACAAGAACATTTTTTTTAATGAATTAGTACAATTTTGTACTTGTTTCCATGGAGTTCCTAAAATCCTATCAGAAGCAAAATTTAATCAGCTTGGGATTATTTTTGATGAATAATACTGCCGAACTACAAGTAGTTGCTAACTGTTTTGCTATGCACGTTTTAAGATCATTTTTAATTAGAATTGGTAAATGCAATCCACTTTTATGAGGGTGCAGAGTTTGGCTAAATGTGTGCAGTATACTTGTACCCAAAAATCTCAATTGTATGAATAGGAGAAGGTATATGACAAGTAGTGTTATGCCAAGCACTAATAAGACATGCACACCTGTGACTGTGACTGTGACTGTGCCCCCCCCCCCCCATGCGAGCAGTATCAGTATGTTTAATTTTGTATACGATTTGAAAGGCAGTTAATTTGCATATCTAATGATACTAGACGTGTATTAGTTTGGCATCTCATGTTGAAGTTGCTTTCACCAACTTTCAATCATGTGATTTTAAGATGCAAATAGCAAACCAGTCTGCAACACAGCTAGTGATGTTGCCATTTCGGTGGCCAGGACAACACAACAACATTTAAATACATATTGTTGCAGTAGTCAGTTTAAGTATTGCAGTACCGGTAATAGTAACAATCTTATCAGAAAATGAACAAAATAGAACTTTGGCTGAAAAGTGCTGTTGGTTCTTATACATGGTATAATAAAAAGCTGAAAAAACGAAACATAGAAAGACATTGATTCCCATAGTCGCATGTGCTACTCACAATTTGTGAGACCTCCAATGTGTTCAAACAATTTTCTCACTTAATAATTACCAAGCATAAGATGACCAATACGTCATCAGTGACAACTATCTGTTATATCTTCGTCAGTTCAGTAATACCATCTAAGACTGCTCAATTTGACTTACCCATTAATAGTCATGTCTTGAATAGAGGATTGTGAGAAACAGATAGCATTTGACGGCATCTGATGGGTTGGAGACGTATCTGCCTGTGACATCACGGACTGATGAGAGAAACCTTGACTCTCCATCATGGTTGGACCATTCGTCAATGCTGGTGGGGGTGGCAAAGCAATCCCACTGTCAGTCTCGTCAAAACCGCCACCATTTTCATTGTGGTATCGGGCATCATGTCTGGGTGCAAAAGAATTGATCGGAGGCAGACCGTTATTAATGCTACCGTGGCTAGGGTAGGTAGATGTTCTGGACAAACTAGGATGCGAACCCCTGTAAAAAAGAACATCCCATTTGGCGGTTAGTGGTTAACGCTAACAGTCCCGTGTTAGCCAGTGTAAGGACTGTGTGAGCCATCACCTGAAGTAAAAACAGATATCACCAGGATGCTGGATGAGACGAGAATTGTTAGGGTGGAAGGTTGGAAGGTCAGCATGCCTGCCAGGAAATGGAGGAAAGATGAATTTATGAATGATAAACATGCACACACAAGATGAATTAGTTAAATCTATGGAAATAATCTACCCTACACTACACTACACTACACTAATACAAAGACAAGATTGGGATTGGGATATTGTTCTCCAGGTCATGTATTCTGTTAACTCGTACATACAGTATCATTATAAAACACTATACACCACCCCACATTATATTTATAACGGTATTCCCTGCATGTCTTGTACACTGACTGAACCATTATAGACGTTGTGCAGGGGAAAGAGTGGGTCTGGTGGTGAAAGGGGATTACAGACACCACATACACTCACAAAATAAAACACTGAGGATGAAATTATGAAATGTTTTATTTCAACATTAAAGATGAATTCAAATTACAATAGATTCATTTTTCTTAATAATTATCGTGTACTCAATGCATTTTTGTTTGACAAAAAAAAAATACTGGGGTAATTTTGACCAATTTTGTGGGGAAAATACAACTGCCATATCATCAGACCAATAATAAAATTATTTAAAGCGGGAGGATCGTCACCTGCAAATGTGCAGGCATCAAGTCCAAAGTGATTATGATAGCACACACTAAAAACACAAAGGCTCATGGGTAGATGCTTGTTTGTAAACATTGACATGCTATGGCCATCTGACGCATACACAGGTGACGACTCCCCCGCTTTAATAATGAGAACTTGCATAATGCTAACATTTGTAGAAAGACATCAGGAAAAACCTTTCAGTTGTTGACTTCTGAATGAATTGTATTAATATCTATTTTTTTTTTCTTAAATTAATTTTGTTTAATTTTAACACTTGGCTCAGAGGAAGATTCTTTTTTTACAAGAGCTGTTGGCAAATTAACATATTTTCACTATTATTAGTATATGCTCTTACATAAACATAATTATATATCTATGGTCCAAATAAGGTTATTTGAATGATGCAGCTTAGAATAAATTCAAATTTTTGGTTTATGTATGCTTAATAGAACACATACAGTATTAGTGAAATTTTAGTTGCATTCAACCTATCGAATTGAAATTTATTCAGAGAATAGATAATTTGATAGCATGTGTACCGGTATAAATGCTGGATTTTTATAAGTGTACCAATTCTCAATTGAGCAGTGCTCAACAAATGATACTTTTAAGCAGAGTTGAATCACAATTGTTACTAACAGGGGTAAATTACACCCATTAAGTAACCGAATAATTTTGGTGTTAAGATAGCACCTGCTTTGAATCAACTGTTACATTTTTAACCTTTTCATTGCCAGACTTCGCAAATTTTTCTGTAATTCTTTCATTATATTCTCCAATATTTCTAGAAATGAATTAATTTGAGTCAATTTTCACTCGAAAAATTTTGCAACTTTTGTCCCAATCTTCTGAAGAATAGTGCAAACTATGAACGGGACTATTTTATGAATTTGTGATGAAAAGAGGGAACTGGCAGTGAGAATGGCGAAGAAATGTTCATAAAAATGATTAATTTGAGAGGAGGGATAGGTGATTTATGTCAGCTGTTTTGTTGATGCTATCCTGTTTTATGTTGGTCATAATAATGATCATAACACCACCATCACTGGTGAAGTTCTCATTGAATTATTTTCAGCTGGGCAGTTTAAACAGCGTCAAAGACAAGACAAACACTTTGAATCACTCGCTTTAATTTATGCAATAACAAAAACACATTGAGAACTTTCTCAATTAAAAATATATTTTTCTTTAAAAACGAAATTCATATTTGTATAAAAGAATCTAAATTAAATTAATTTGAAATTAATAATCTTAACCAATAATAGAGTAATATATAAGTTTTACAATATTTACAGAGGGGAAAAAAAGCATAATATCTGACGAGTTAACTGAATTTTGTATTTGCATCATTTGAATAATAGATCATACTCAAAGTGTGGGAATGTGAAATAGAACTAGAGATTTTGTGACAGTTTGAAAAAATTAAAACTCAAAGTAGGTGATAATTTAACTTGGCCATAATTGCATAATTTGAAATGGAAACTTTGTTATCTAAAACAAAGCATCAGGTTTCCTTTAAGACTTTTTTCATGAAATTTAAGTTTACAGCACAATTTTAATAAAAATGGTACACATTCCTGTTCATCTCTTGCATTTGTAAGGTGCACTTCAAGACGCAATAACATTTCTCAGAACAAAATTTGTTTTTGGGGAACACTGCACAGCATGGATACAGTATTTGTTCTATTGAAAGTACCTGCATCTCCAAAAGAGACACGTACAAGCCAAAAAATGTGAAAAACACTGACAATTTTTGATAAAAGCTTTCTTTGGAAGAAGGCAAATATGCTTCTAATAGAGAAAACTATCCTCCAATTTCCAAATACCACGTGTTTATGTGTTGACATTAAAAGCTTTAATTTCATGAAACAAAATTTCATGGCTTTCAAGAGTAAGTGAAAAATCAGGAAACTTTGTAAGCAGTGAAAACAGCAAATGCAGCGTAGGGAGGTGCCATTATACAGTTTATGTAAATGGCTCTCATCTGAGAATGCTATGTTCTTAAGCACTGTCATTGTCTTGAAAGTTTTAAATACCATAAGGTTCCTCAAAAACTAAAAATAATCTAAATCTGTTCAATGCTTCAATTTTGAAATAAAAATACTATGTTGGCTGTGATGTCAGCTTGATGGCAGCTATGTGTAAATTAGAAGTGGTATTTTCGCTTAAATTGGCAGTCTCTAAAATGTCAAACTTCCTAGTGTCATTAGAATCATTTCATTGGATAGATGTTCTGATTCAATTTGAACTGAATATGTACATTGTATGTGTATAATTAGAAAACTACAAATCTGATCAAATCAACTTAAAATTAAAGTTTTGGAGATTTTCTGGGTTATATGGTTTTCTTTCAAGACGAGAATAATAGGGCAGAGTTCTTACTATAAGTCATAAAACTCCCAACGAAAAGACAAAAATTGGTGGCAATGAATAATGAAACTAAATCTCCGCGTAGGTTGAAAAAACAAAAACCACAATTTCTGAAGAAATATTTGGCACTTTCGCGATCGCGATCACAAGCACTTGATCACAGTTGTTCCTGTTCTTTTTCAGCAATTACATCATTAAGGTGAAAGAAAGCAGAACTGTAGGTACAGGGATAACGTATGGAAGTGTCATTCTTAGAGAAGTGTCATAAATACATTTACGGCAGTCCTTTACTTTATACTTCATATCACAGCTGGTTCAAAGGCTCAAGCTCAAGCTCAAGTTCAAATGTCTGAATAGGGCAGTAACTTTTCCATAGTGAAGCCAGTGAAGTGATCAAAGTCTGGCAATCCAGTTTTCACTTTTTATTTTCCTTCTTTGGCTTCTTTCCAATGTTATCAGGGACTGCAACCAACCTGAAACAATCCAGGTAGATCGGTCACCAATCAAGAAATGCAACAAGGGAAATTCACTCTTAAGCATTCTTTGAAAGCCATGCAAATTTGCGGCTCGGATTCTGTCAGTCTAAGACAGGTCATGTGATTTGACCACAGCAACAATATCCATGTGATTGGGATCCATATACGGAAAAAAATTACGGTCATGTGACTGGAGTATCCTATATATGGCAGGCTAATTTACATAACAGCTGAATAATTATTTAAGAACTGAGGTGGCGCTTGGTGTTGTTCTTTTCCGGTTTCTGTTGCATTGTTTGTATTTTGCAATTCACGGCTATAAGAAAAAAGTGCAATAACGTCAATGTAATTTACAACAGCACAAATTTTGTACGAAAACTCACCTCATAATTAATCAGCCGCTCCAAAGCAAGAGTCAACAGTTCCAAAAACATTTCCTCAAATCCTTTTAGTCATGATCAACATCTCACACACAGAACAAGTTTGTACACAATGTAAGGGGAAGGGAAAGGGTTGTAATCTAACAAACGCTCTTTCCTACACTGACATGTAAAATTATTGCAACATGGACTATTTAATGTCAAGATTATTATTGGTTTCGAAAGCAGCGAAGTTGGCAGCCACCACGAGTGAGGAATAGACTTAGAGGACCACTTCAAGTGTAACACAGAATAACGCAGTGTCCAATGTAGTTTCAATTCATAGAGGTCTGTTGAGCTATTAGGACATTTTCCAGCTAACAGACTTGAATGATATGGTCATCTGATACATAACATTTTTGGTAGGGCATTCATAAGCTTCTAATTCAACAAAAACGGTATACACTATAGTTTTAAGAAACTAGCAAACTGGACTTGTGGTGACTAAAAATTGGATTGGCTTTTGCACAACCACTGTTCATGAGGTCAAATCTGTTCCATAGGGAATTGGTGTTAGAAGATTAATGATCAGATGTGTAACATGAAATTTTAGAAGCCAAAACACAAAGTTTCCCATTATCCTTAGACAGTCCTGAGCACCAAAACCTCAACAAAAATGCATGCTGATTCAAGTTGACTTTTAAACGTGCAAGAAACACACCAGGGTTCTTTTTTTTTTCAAAGAAAGAAATCTGAATCATAACACAACTGTAATTGGCATGTTTATTGAGAGATGGTTTTCAGGGGAAATCACAGCACAACGTTGATATACACTTAAGTGATGTACGGTACTTACTGTCTGTGTTGCTGTGCCCTGTACTGATTTACTGTGTTCTGGGGGATGTAACTCATCAATTCAAGTGACTCTTTGATCTTCAAAAGGATTTCATAGTTTTCCCGACCTCGTACTGTTAATGTGTAAACATCGTCGTCTCCCTTTCGTTTTTTGGTGCCGACTGACATCATCTGAAACCCAGCTGTTTTACTGAACCCTGTGGTAGACAAAAAGAAAAACATTAAATGGATGTAATTAGCAAATAAATAATACAGCTTGAAGTTCACCAAACAAGTTTTTCCTTGGTGCAAACAAATAATACTCAATGCTCGCTATGGGCAAAGTTCACGATTTATGAAAATATAATTTTTTCCTTAATTAAGAGTTAATTTTAGCTGATAATGATGCTCATACCATAAATATGCAAAGTAAGACACATTCTACAGAAATTCCTAGGGTATCAACTCGATTCTAATATTTTAGCATATCCACAATTATATCAATACCACTCACATGCTTCTGAATGCAAGCTAAACTTTCCATACACGACTAAACATTACTTGCAGTGATTGACACAAGGATCCCAAACTCCCACTTGTAAACCATCACCTGATTGGTCAATAAGAACTTACCTCTTTTCATTTGTTTTGGTGGAGGGTGACATCGTTTTTCATCTGACTTTCTATCTCTACCAGGGCAGGCACATATTCTGACATCAAGTACTCTACGTCCCAACACTAAACCATCTTTCTCCATTTGAAAGATCACTTGTATCGGGCGGCGATTCAGTCCCCCCACGCAAGAGGAGAAACACATGAACGCATAAAGGCAGGTAATGTATTCAGTTCCAACTGTAACAAAGAAAACGATATTAAAATAGGTAGCAGAGAACCCAAATTAGACTTGCATTCAATTTTTAAAAAAAGTGTGTGAAGTGTGAAAATACACTTGACTAAACTAAATTGATTGATTTCATATTAGCTAATTGAATACATATCCAAGTTGAGTGATGCCAGGTACCAGAAGGCTGGTTAACCTCTTCACCACCAGACTTCTCTGCACTTTTTTTCTAATATTCTTCATTATGAAATGAACCCTAGTTTTGGAGTCAAAATGCCGTTTTTACTTTTTACTTTTGAATTTTGCTATTTTTGTCTCAATCTTCTGAAGGAAAGTGCAGACTTTAAACGGGACTATCTTGTGATGAAAAGCGGGAATAAGTAGTGAAAAGGTTTAATCAACATCACCCTATATGGCAGTATGCCAGTGTGTCAGGTCTAGTGGATTGCGTTTCAAAGGATAGGCATTCAAATCACAAGTTTTTACAAGTTTTTATTTCATGCATCATACATTTATATATCATTACTAACCTTGTGGGTTTTCGTATGGTACAACCACACTCTGTCTACCAGTCGTGTGGTCCTCTGCATATTGTGCTTGCACATTCTCGCATCGAAGTAAATGAGCTGGAGCTGGGTGACCCTCGTTGTTTTCCTTTGTTGAGGCATGATTAGGACATCGTTTAACCACCTCCTTTACATGCTCTGGACGTTTAAAGACTGGCATGGCTCGGATGATACTACCTGGTGGGGGTCTGGTGTGTGTTTTGAACTTGATTGGGCATGTTACCCCCATTCTCACATATAACTTCTTTACCAAGTCAGAGTACTGTGAATATAAACACAAAGAATTAAACCTGAATCACAATATATGTTGAAGTGATCAAAAACTTTGTCGTCATAAAGATGACAATCCAGTATTATTTTTCATACTGGATTGCATAATTTAACCCAAAAGTTGAAATAAGCGAGACCAAATGGTGAGAAATTGTGAGATTCTTGTTCGGTTAGGGGGCTTATAAGTATATAGCAAAGCATTCTTGCAGTTAGTGGCTTCAGCTACCAATTTGCTGCACTGTACGTAAAACACTGTGAAAATGTTCCCGAAGACAACATGGCTAATCTCAATGCAACATCCTTTGTGTTGTCAGCATCAGTTCGTTAACAAGTAAAAAAAAAGCTCTGGCATTTCCCACACACTGGAACAACCAATTTAAGGTATATACAAGGACCTCTACACACAAGTGTCTCCAAACAGAAGCAATGTTTTATGTTTGGCATACTTACTGTCCATGTTGCTGTCTTTGAAAGTGTTTGAGAGCTGGCCATAGATATTTCAAAACCATAGTCTCCCATGTAATCAGTGCTATGAAAAAGAAAATATCAGAGTTAGGTACAGATATTGACTAAATCACATTAAACAGTAATGCTGCTAAAATAACTTGTAATCGCTCTCATTGGTGAACTCTCACAGGAACTGGCGAACTAAACCTTAAGCATACCATTAAACAGATTACTGTCGTCAGATTTGCTTTATTTGCAATGCAAGCGGTTATGTATGCAAATGACAGCTGTACATCTATGGGAAAAGCACATCATAATGTAACAATAAATGCAATTTTGGGTGTACTCCTTTGGAGTAAATACGTTAAACGCATTTACTAATCTAGTAGTATGAAGTTATAAAGGAAAAGTTACTTACTTGGAGGGGACTGTTGGAGTAGATGCCATCATCTGTGGTGGTGGTGTGTATGGTGGAGGTGTCACGCCATGATCCGTACTGTAATCACTAGGTACGCTACTCGGCATAGCACTGTCGGGTGAGGAATACGGATTGGAAGAAGAGGACGAGACTGGAGCCAAGCTGGTGATCTGCAGAAAAACAATAACTCAACATTAATTAAAACAATAAGCATTTTACAGTAAACTAATTAGCCTTCCCAGAAAATTCCACAGGCACACTTTAAGGTGTGGCATTTGTTGAATTTTACACCTACAAAAAAAAAAAATCATTTTGCTTTTAGGAAAAGAAGCCAAATCTTACAAGTGGTTACTAGCTTTTAAACTTTGGCAAAACCATCATTTTGTGATGAACCACAGAGATACCAATCAGTCAATGTCACCTCATACAATACAACACTATCCACTCAAAAAATAATTAATAATTGCCATAATTAATCCATTTACCAGCACATTACTCAAGTACTGAGAAATTCCTCTGTGGTTATGCTAAATTGGCCAAAAACAAATTACAGTAACAAACATACGAGAAACAATATATTGAAATGTTGACAATAGATGCAATGGCCCCCAGTCTATCCTGTAATCATGTATATCTATATTTGGAGAAATGCCAACACATCTAGAGCTACTACGCAAGGACACCCGACATTACAATGAAATGTCAACATTCTTTATAAATCATAAAACGCAAACAAAAAACCAGGCAAGAAATCTATAATAGCGTATAGTAAAATTGCACATTTCGAAACTCCTGACAGAGGTAGAAAAGAAAGCTGGTCAGATCGAGTTTCAAAGAATTTTAAAAGCTGACTTAAATAAAATGACATCTCCTGAACAAGCAGCCAATGACCATCATCATTATTTGTTGTCGGTAATCACATGGGCTTCATGGGGCTATGATAGACGTCAAGACTACGGTAAAGTCGGGTTCATACAAAATCTTGATACGACTAAGTTGTACAGCATACAGCACATACAGAAAGGACAGAAGCGTACATAATGAACATGCCATAGCGGAAACTACTTTAATCATTTACAAAGTATCCGAATTTTCACATCAAAACATTTTGCCGACAACTACACAAATACTCTTATTCAGCTTTCATGTTTAGATTATACACATACCCAAATACTATCGTGTCGTCACACACGTATAAACTTCAACCAAAAGTTTGAAACACACATTCTTCTCACACACAGGTCATATGCGAGGTATACCGATTTAAAGATGGCTACTGCCTTTGTCTGTCCACACAAATTAGTGTTGATCAAAACATGGAAAATCACCACTGTCGATCGATTAGTTTCAGAAGTAGACTCAAATCTTTGAGCTTCTGAAGCAACAATTCACGAGTTCAGCAAATCAAAACAAATTTTTATATATTTTTAGTAAACTTGTACATTTCAAGAGGCGAAATAAGGGAGCCATGAGACCAACGGAAAAAATGTTCACAGTACAGAATAACATAACAGTATGAAACTGAGTAAACAAGGTTGCAGTTCCACTACAAACTGGAATCTCAACGTTATCGAATCAATAATCAGATACACAGCCAATTTGTAATTTATATGCAGACATTTTATTTTTTGAATGAGCCTAGAAAGACAAACAAATGACAGATCAATACGATTCCAAATATCAGCTTGAGAACCAGAATGGCATGCAACACAGACTCCAGAAGATGGCTATAAACTAAAATTTGATGAGGGAAGCGTTTTAAACAGCGTGAAAATGAACACGAGGGGAGCTGTGTTGTTGGTAACCAGTCAGGAGTATCAACAAGTACAATTAGCTGATTAGCAAGTAGGAAAGATTGATACTAACTGATGTTATATGCAGCATGTCCATTCCATCACACGGTAAGCATACTCAAGTAATAGTCCCACAGCTCAAAGTTAAACAGCTGGCAAACTTTACAACACAAAATGGCGCTAAACGATCAAGATTACTGGCAGCAAAGGTCCCGAGTCAGGCAAGAGACATGGTGGACTAGGCAAAGTTGGCCGAATGCCAAAGCTGTCATCGGGACTTTTACGAAAACTGGGGTTCATTTCATATTCACAGGGCCGGACATATACACATGCGTGTCACTTCAACAAAAGAAATTCCAGCCGCGTACAGTAAATAATTAAAAACTTTGAGAATTAGCGACTCGAACATTTGGGTTGGACAGATAATAGATATAAAGTTACTTTACCCGGTCTCCAGTGAATCGAGCCACGAAACTACCTCGTCGACTACATGGCTCAAACCTACCACCCATAGGTTGCAGCATGAGGAAGCAGTATGTTGTTATATCCGAGTGAAAACAGCAGTCAACGCTTAATATGGAAACTTAACCTTCCAGTGCCAGAAAAGCATACAAGTTAGTCAGAAAGTTAGCATGTGACCTGTTCAGAATGTGCACTTGATGTGTGGTTAAAAATCAAAGCGAAAGATTTAAATTGAAGACTAACCATGTGATGGTGGAGTATAAACAGAAGGAAGAAAAAAATAATAAAGTGAATGGAATAAAGAAATGGCAATGGACGGAGGAAGAGTTATCATAAAAAGAGACTAGATTATGATTTAAATAAAGCAGTCAGCATGAATATACATAAAAATTATTAAAGCAAAATGGTTGGTTAATGACTAGTAACTGAAGTGAACTCTGGATGCCTGGCAAATAATTCTAACTGCAAAAACACTAGTCACTCATTATACACAAATGAGACGTGTTGTTTCTTGTTTTTGGCATTCAAAAAGTTGTTTTATTCAAGTTGCCAGTAAAATTGGCGGGAAAGGGACAAAACGTTAGTTTGGGGTAAAACATGAAAACTTTATCGAACTCTGGCGATACGCACTCATAAAGCAGGACATGCCACTTCATTGGTAGGAGTGCAGGGTGGTAAACAGAGGGGCAGGTCAAAGGTTGCCACTTCAAACAGTGGTGTATTTGCACATTACAGTAACAAAGGAACACGCCTGAAAGTCACGAGTGTGTGAATAAAGAAACTGACAATGGAAGAGAATGGTCCAAAGAAATCTTTAGTCCCTTCCATTATTTTGTCACCTATTCACTGAATGGAATGCTCCAAAGGGGAGTTGCAGTAGGCTTCCGTTGACAAGTCTATACCTGTCTCAGTTTGCCCTATTTTAATCTCTGCTTTATCACCCCGGCAATTATATTCAATCAAACTACTGACAACAATGCACACATATACACACCGAGAAAGACAAACAGAATAACTTCTAGGGGAAATTTATCTCAATGCAAATGTGCCATACAGTTCCAGAATAGACCCCACAGTATGGGTATGGTCTACGACTGAACTGAAAACATTTTAAACAAAACCCCATACAACAAATATAACCTGACATTATGCAACCAAACAGGTGCTACACACAACTAATTTTTACCAGATCTGTTCTAAAGTTAAGTGAATACATCAGAATTTAATAATTATTTTTAGAAAAAATGCTCAAGTAAAAAAAATAATATTAAGACTGAATTCATGCTAAACAAATTTTAAGCACACTCTCCAAAAAAACCCCGAAGACTTTCTTATTGAATTGCAGCCGGGTCAACAGGCAAAGAACAATGTAGCAAAGCTGGTACTGAAGTGACCCTATTATGTCTGCAGTCCCTTACCATTGTGTAGATCTGCAACCATGGTGGTAATAAGAGAACTGAGCTAACAATGACACCGGCAATAAAATTGATAAAAGAGACCCACACTCCAACAGGTGATTTTGTAATACATTTTAACACACCCTCTGACCACCCCCTCTCGAACCACTAATGGTAACAGTAACGGTTTTAAAACGTGATAGACTGTTCAATCACGAAGACAGGCAAGTCAAGTTGGAAGATAGGGGTCACCAAAATATGTACGAAAAGATTAAGGAAGGTCAATGTAACCATAACAAGAAAACGGCAGATGACAAAAATGATAAAATTAATTGATTATTAACACATTCTCAACACATGGCATAAATACACATATTCTAACACTTGTACTTTGACAAAAACGCACCCAATCATATTTCCATACCTCGTTTCTTGAAGCCTAACAGGTGACTGAGCTCATTCACAGAAATACAATTTACTAATATAACGACTTGAAAACTTGTAATGAACATGAAAATTCTTGGTGCGACACAGATGTGTTTGTTTAATTGTTCCGTGGGATGACCCCAGGTATTTAGTTTGGTTACCGATATGTGTGCGTTACACAATGCAAATTAGTAACAGTTAAGAGTTTTGCAAGTCTGGACAAATTCTGAAGGAACTTGCAAAAACAGCTCTCTGAGTAAAGTGAAGTCATTCAACTATGAAAAACACTTCCATTGATCAGAATAATTCTAAGAAGCATATACACCCAGAGTTATTATCATAAACATATATCACCTGCCTTGACACGCCATCCAGTTGCCATTTCTGCATTATTATCTACTGTAAGTTGCTTTAGACAATTTTTTGCAAATTTTGCGAGTCAGTGAGATCAGCAAAATATACTGTAGAATACTTTATTTTTGCTTGGAATTTATTTGCTATTTTCCTAAATTTCACATTAAACTCATCAAAAATCAGTGAAAATAAATTCCATACAAAATACCCAAAAAGCCTTTTCAGCGAAAATTAATTCCAGCAAAAAATAAAGTATTCCACAGTACTCTGGAGACCCTCAACAAAAAGCATCAGTGACTTTTATTAAATTTTTTATTCACGAATGCCATAAAATCGTTAAAGGGGCACCTTCCAGTTAAGCCTAATTTCACAACAAATTTACTTTCAGGATTAAAATAACAATGGATAACAAAAGATAGATTAACATTGTAAACAACATAAACAATAGTGTCCCATGATTCTTTGGTGCAATCCATAGGATTGAGCGGTTCCCCTTTAAATTGCTAACATTCTCAGCAGTGAAAATTAAACGATATTGTTCAAAAAAAATTGAATTTTCTGTCATTTGAAAAACACACAATTTTATCACCAGATCACAGGCCTGATTAAGGCAGATATACAAACATAAAACGGAACAAACAAAGATTTACAAACAAAACATTTAATTCAAGGATAAAAACAAACACAAATATTTTTATAACAATCATGAATACACAGAGGAGGTTTTGATGTGAACTGGATAGAGAATAAAACCGCCCATCCCAATTGATGGTGTACCTGTTATTTTTGGCTTATCATCCCCTTTTACAAGTCTCAAAAATTTTGAAATCAATTTTGTCAACTTTGGGTTACAAACAAACACATTCAACTCTCATCTCCAGCAACCTGTTAGCATTTTGAGATGCCACTGTGTGAGGTGCTTCTCCTTGGTGCACAGAAATCATCATACAGCCACTTTGAACCATTGGTGTCCAAAAACTCATGCTGAATCCACATAACCTCTGAGACCACTCTACATAATTCAGGCAGTAGTGTACAGGAACCGTTTTTATCCGATATACTTACTGTGCCCTCAGGTCCAATCTGATATCGCTCCACCTCCATCTCAATACGGTTTTCATGTATGTCCAAATCAGCGACACCAGTTTCGGAAAAACTGAAATCTAGAGGCTGCGTCACAATCTGTGTCAGATTTCTGAAAAACAAAATTTACAAAAAAAACTCAGAAAAGAAACACAAGATGTGAAATCAACTTTTTTGCATGCCAGTTGGGTGGAAAAAAGATTAAAACAGAGAAAGTCAGAGGTTTCCAGTTGACTTATAGAGTATGACCCAATCTTTGTGAGGCATATCTTCAAATAAGAAGACTTGTTAACTCATCCTGCAAAATGGAAACCTCTGATGTATATTTTAACCCAAGAGAAAGGAAAGTACACCTGTAACCTTACGCAAGCGCAATTAATTATAAAGTGAGGTTTTAGGGGGAGTTAGTAGAAGTACTTACCCATGCCTTGGAGGGTAATCTCTGGCATAATAACTTAAACACAAGAAAACAAATAACTGGACTTTAGAAACCACTATAAATTATGGAATTTTGCTATATCAACAATTCCGTTGATGATATTAGCATTTTTTTTCTTTTCAATATATTCATATTTTTCCTATTATTGTCACAGTTATTGGAGTATAAGAAAACAAGACTAATGGAATTTATCAATTATGGATAATCCTACGAGGATAGATTATATGAAGCTTAACTACTTTTACACTTTCACTTTTAAATATATTGCTTCCCTTTTCAAATTTATGTTAATAAATTAGAACATAATTTGACTTAGATGCAGGTTTCAACAAAAATCTTTAAAAAAAAAAAGATCGAAAGTTAGGACATACGCAAGCAAGTCCAAGACACATTCTCTCAAGCTTGTCACCAGAGGGCGCTGTAAGAAACTTACTTAAGGGGGCATGGCTGATATTGTTAAATGATAGAGAAAGACGTGTGAAAACATTCAGAAGTTTGTTGTTAGTTGTAGAAATCTTTCATTGAGATGAAGAAAAAAAATACACCGACTGTAGAGTAAAACCCAAACCCTAAAAACTAACATCTCACATTTGCCATCAATCAACAAGACATAATATCTAGTTGAGATTCCATGAATTATGACAGTATACTAGTACTCAAGTCTTTCAAAACAAAAAAGCAATGATTACTTAGTATATTCTCCTGACATTTGTTTGATTAACACTATCCTAATTAGCATATAATGCACATCTATTTGTTTTAAGGCTCCAGAATTTTCCAAGATTGATTCAGTTCTTCTGATGTCAGCACGAAAAGGATGCAAGAGTTTTTAACCAGTTAAAATGTTTTTTAGCTTGTTCACAAAACAAAGAAAGTGAAAATAAAAAAAATTGTCGGTAAAGAGACACAAAATACATGTTTCCATCCTTTGATTAGGCTTCGAAGCATGCGTTTTCAGAACCATGATAGCGCTTTTCCAGTTAAAGCACCAGTCATTACATGCAGCACATTACTAATTTAACGCATGTTATGTTATATGATAATCATATTGAACATGACATGTTATGACGACAGAAGCTTTAACTTTTCTTCAGATAAAACATGCAATTTTTTTTTTACCCAAAGTACTCACCCATTGTCAGTTATATCGCCTAATGTGGTCCATAGTTGATTAAAAGTTTCTTGACTTAGTGGTTGACTTTGTGAAAGTCTGTCGGACCCCTGTGAAATACTGCGATCGAAACTCTTATCATGCAAAAGACTACTACCAGAGGGTGGGGTCATACACTCAGCCTCTTCTTGCGACATTCTGACTTGTACCAAAACCTTCAAAATAAACAATAACAGAATTCATATAAATTAGTGTTGTTCAGATGAACTCAGAGAATGGTGTGACATCTAAGCTAACAAAAAGACTAAAAAATCATGGTTTTCTAAAATCACCACATTCAAACTTAACTTTTTTCTCTCTAATTTTGTATGTCTGAAATGTTCTTCACACAAAAATTTCAATTTTTGGATGAAATTTATTCTAGTTCTACAATCAAATTTAATGTTCACTTGTTGTACTGGAAACCAAACACATAGTTTACAAGTATACAACAGATTCTATGCAACTACTTTTCTTTTCTTTTTTTCATCAGTCTGTTCATTAATCTGAACTGCTCAACAATTTGACTTTTTTTATTTTTAATATGAAAATATAATAAAAACCCACAGGCTGTCAAACATGCTGATACATGTCTCTCCA